ATAGTTTCTTTTGAAACTATTTTTATTCACATCACAGACAAGGGATTAATTCTGTTAATATTTTAAAAGCTCTTGTAAATCCAGAAGCAGAAGAACAACGCAAAGCAGGCCAAGAGGACGAGCAGCTCCCAAACGAGAAACACAAGGGGCTCCTGAAAGCACCGAGAGATAACCAGCTCCACCCAACACAAGAAATACAAGCTGGGGAGACATCATCTGTAACTGCTAAGGGGCAAAGTTAAGCAGAGCAGCGGCGTGCTTCTGCAGCAACCATGGACATGCCCCAGCACAGCTGAGCACAAATGCCGTCTCCATCCAAGACACTTTGGCTATTCATGACCATTTTGAACGTGAGCAGCCTTTTAACCAGAAACTTCAATGTAAGGAACAAGATGACAAGATTTCTAAGCATAAGCATGGAGGCATCATTTGTGGTAGAAAAGCACACAGTCTAAATGTTTAGCATAAGGATTGGTTGACTAAACTATGCCTATTCACAAAGGGAGTACTGCACAGCCATGCAAAAGGATGAAATTGTGTTATAGTTACTGGTTTTGAATTGTTGTTGACATAAACAGGGAACAGAGCACACGTATGCCACTGTTTTTAAATACTTGGAGTAATTCCAAAATGACGAGGAGGGCTGCGCTGTGACTCTGGAAGAGGGAGACTCTCCCCACGTTACTGCCGTCCTTTCATTTACTTGATAAAGTTCCTGCCATACACATGGCCAGTCAAAAAATATATTTTCAAAATGCAGTAAGTGCTAGGCCCTGTGTTCAGCGCTAGCTCATCTTCCTGGACTGTGCCCGGCTCTCTGCTATTGATTTGATGCTACTCTGTACCGCCACACACTCTGATGAGGAGAACCCTGTTTGCTTTCCTGGCATTGATGTATCTGATGTGGTCCCCATTTGGTGAATGAGGCATGTTATAAAAGGACCTGAGAGACCAGAAACACCATTTCAGGAGCAATGAAACTGAACCTAGATAGGGCAGCCCGCTCTGCTATTTTACTCTAATTCTGAAGACACTATAAATTCCCTTAAGGAGAAAACCATCTAAATAGTTTGCCAAGATCTATGTGTGTTGGGCATTTCCTAAGCACATGTCACTGAGCTACACTCCCTGGCTCGTGATGGGTATTTACAAAGCTTCCATTTATTATGCCTCTACTCAAATACGCATACTTTAAAAGACTGCAGAGGAAGCAGCTTAAACGTTCATTCACTCCTCAATGGATAAAAAGAGTGTGGTATATCCACACAATGGAATACTATTCAGCAACAAAAAAGAGTGAACACCCAACAGGTACGACCACATGACATATCTCACAAGAAACACACTGAATGAAGGAAATCAGGCCCATGCCCCAACAGAGTACATGCTACTTGGTCCTATTTGAACAAAATACAAACTAATTTGGTAGTGACAAAGAAAATCAGTGACTGCTTAGCGATGAAGAAGAGGCTGGGAAGGGGCTGAGGGAGGAATTATAAATACCAACTTTGGGGGATAATGAATGTGTTCACTATCATGATTTTGACTGACTATATCTGTCAGGTCATCAAAATTTGTACTTTTATACTCAAAATACACAATTTGTTGCAGGTTGTGCTGGACAGCTTCAGTTGTCAACTTGACACATCTCAGTTGAAGGAGCCTCAGTTGGGGAACTGCCTCTATTGGACTGGCCTTTGGCCATGTCTGAGGGGCATCTTCTTGATTGTTGAGTGATGTGGGAGGGGCCAGCCTACTGTGCGTGGTGCCACCCCTGGGTAGGTGGGCCTGTGTTGCATAAGAAAGCAGGCTGAGCAGGGGCCAGGGGAGCGGGTCAGTAAGCAGCGTTCCTCCATGGCCTGTGCTCCAGCTCCTGCCTCCAGGTTCCTGCCCTGAGTTCCTAGCCTGACTTCCCTCTGTGATGAGACGTAAGATAAAATAAACCCTTTCCTCCACAAATTGGTTTGGTCTGTGTTTTTATCACAGCAATAGAGAAGCGAGCTAGGACACAGACCAATTACCTCAATAAAGCTGTTCTTGAAGATGTAGAAAAAAGAGTCTGGCATGTACATACCATACTGTTTAAAAATGTCCAAAACTCACAAAATGATACCCCAGTATGGCGTTTTCCTGAAAATGTCACTTTTCAGAAAGATGAGAATTGTGGTTTTTGGAGGAACAGCCAGGTTGCAGGCAGATTATTAATTACCGTGGGAAACCGTGATGTATCATTGCAATTTCATACCGTTTCTACCAGCTAACGTAAAGTTCCCTCACATTTCTCAGAAAGGTATTGTAAAGCTTTAACTGATTTGTGTTGGTAAAAACCCTTGGCTACCATCATGGAAAAATAATTCAGTATCAAAATATAAATGCACAACAGCTGTTCTTATAGCTGTTTTTCTTTACAATAAATTCTAGAAATGCCAACTATCCCTACACATTATCCCAGAGAAAACTGTCACTCTGTGGGTTTGTGCCTCTGCTCGTGAAGGTTAAATCATAGCATCTGGAAAGGCATTTTAACAAATGTGTGTGACTATCTCAACTCCTGAAGAGCTTGCAAACACCTCTCACTCAGTCATCACAGTTTGTCTAAGATGAACTAAGATGAAGATCTCTAGGCTTACTCGTATATTTTTTATGAGAAGATGCACTTTTTGTCTCCCTTTAGAATAATCAGAATATGACTTCAGCATATGTGAGGTAATAAGAAATGGACAGTAACAAGGCAGAAGAACGATGTTGACACAGACAGAGAAACTAAGACTTGTTGGAAGGAGACTTGAACCACAGGCTTGCTTAGAGCAAACGACACAGTATGTAGTCTAACTCTCAGCACTGTCTGTACCATTCCGTAGCAATCCACACGCAGTAGGCCTTCAGCACACATTACTATTTATAATATCAGAAGTAAAATTTGAGACAATGATTTAACACAGTGAACCAGTCAAGAGATAGGCAGGGTACGTCACCTCTATTCCAACCAATAATCAGGCGTAGTCATGGGAAATGTGACCTAAGAAAATGTTAAGTCTTTGACAGGAGCGAGCTATTCTCTATGAGAGGTAGCTCAGGAAGGACCCTCTGCTCTGAAGAGCCACAGTAAAGATGAATGATGCCCACGTTTGGAGTGAGAATGTCATCACAAGCCGGTGTGAATGCCCAAGCTTCATGTGGCCACCCATAAAGTGTCCCGTCATTGTTATGACTTCATAGAGTAAGAGGTGCTATGCACAGTTGGCAATTTAAATTAAATGGTTAAGATTAAAAATTCATGTCCTCAGTTGCACTAGCGACATTTCAAGTATGTACTGAGTACATAAAGATAGCGGCACTCACAATGGGACCAAACCATACAAAAATATCCCCTCATCAAGAAAAACTCTAGTTTTGGGCTAGAATGAGGTGAGGCTGGGACCAGGAGGTCGAGTAAGGATTTCTGAAATAGCAGCGCTAAGGATAGGAGTGTGTACTGGAAACAAAGGGGCCAATCGCTCAAACAGGAAGGGCCCTCGGCCCCTGGTCTCCTAGCCTGGCTTTATGAATAACCTAGAGTTAAAGCACCCTCTGTGCCCTCATGCCCTCTGGGACCTCCAAAACTACATGTGTGTTTTCCATAAAATATTAAATCAAGAAAATTAAGACAGCACACTTAATGTGAAATAAAGTTCATATACTCCTGTTTAAACACAGATTAGAATTTCTGTCAGAACAATGCCAGTGAAAAGTTGACATTCTAATTAATACAATTTACATTATAAAGCACTGAATATCTTTATCTTGCTATTATGAAATGCCCTCTTTAAAAAAAAAAAAAAAAAAAAAAAAAAAAAAAACTGCACTCTACAGAGACTAGAACACTAAGGGACTGCCCTTAAATCCGTGTACAAGGGGGCACTGGGGTCATTGGCATTTCCACACACCATCTACCCAGGTCAGCCTTGGACGTCCTGATGGCTACCTGCATGCGGCAACTGGCTTTTGAAGCTGTTTTGCTTGCAATGGCGTGACACGTGCTGCAAGACACAAACACCTCCCACTTGGCATCACAGAGAGTGGGTCTGGAGCCCTGAGAACCCGCAGGCAGGTGTCTCCCATACTCTGCGTTCTCAATCCAAATTCTGAGCGTGCAGGAGGGCAGACATCAAGCCCACAGTTGAGTCCCCAGGATTTGTGCCTATTGCCTTTGTCAAGTTTATGCTCTCAGCAAAAGGAATAAAGATGAGCTCCTTAAAGCCTGACTTTTCACTCCCTAGGACAACATTCTTTCTCTTCAACGCTTCACACTCTGCTCTCTGGTTTCCACCTCTTCGTAACTGATATCAGCCATTTGGAGCACTCAGTAAAAACCTCCTGAGGTTCATCAAATGTCCCCCAGTCCATAATTCTTGCTTTTAACACACTCAGAAGTACAATCAACCAAGTGTTTTCCACTTCCCCTCCCTGGTTTTTTTCTATGCACAGGGGCTGGTATAATGACAGTCGTATTAATTATCAGCTGAAAAGTCCACATAGCAGCAGAAATGATGGAGATCACCATTTTAAATATTTTATTAAAATAGCCAAGTGTAGAACAGATAAAGTAGACCCTCCTGATAATGAGAGGCTCATTAATTTTACAAGAATTCTAGAAAGCCTTAGAGTGGTCATCAAATTTGTCTCTTTTTCTCATTTATTTTTCCAAGAAGAGGAAAATCTTCGATTGTCACTTTAGAGAGCCTGGGTATAATAAGATTTTCTAAGGTATTTTAAAACAGTCACCCTTCTAGAAAAAGCTTTGAAATATCAACTTGAAAAATGGAGGCCTTAGATGTCACATCCTGGCTTGAAATGCCTGTAAATTTACACCTTTTTGTGGTGTTTTTCTCATTGAAACTTGGTTTCATTGGCATATGATGATTTTTGATAACTAAAATTGATATTTTACCTAGACAAACAAGCATCACATTAAAATCCTTTAATCCTTGACAGAAATAGACACAGGATCTCCTGCCTACCAAGTGTGTCTCCAGGTACAGTTTCAGGCTGTCCGTCTCCGCCTTAGGGGGCGTCCAGTTCTCGGTGGTCACCATGGCTTCCTTCAGCCACTGAATGAATTCATCCAGCTTGTTTACAAAACCCTTGTGAGAGAAAAGACCGGGAGGGGAGAGAGAAGAGGAACATTAGCAGCTTATTTTCTAAGGCCAATCTTCAATTCCAAACTTCACCCCAAATTAAATCGATACCTTGGCACTCTCCACCAAGTGCAATGTTTGCTCCCATGAAATCTCTACTATCCCTGACCCTGAACTCCATCCAAATCGGAAATGAACTGTCCCCCTGGTTTGTACGCAGGAACACTTTCCTAAAGAATCTGATTAGACTGTGGATGTCACCGCGCGACATCTCTCATGTGTGACAAGCACCCTCTTGCCAAAAAAGGAATCAAGTGTTGTAGGAGCGGCCGTCAGCTTTGGGGGATAAAGGCATTCATGTCAAGATGGCCTTGTCTGTTCAGGCTGCACGGAGTTGAGTCACCGTCGCTGAACTACAAAATCTATTTTAAAATCACAGACGTGTTTAAAGACACTTGGATGAGCCCTGGCAATAGCCCACGTCTTGGGCTGAGCCTGAGTGCTCCGGGGAAAAAGTTCAAGAAGAACAAGGGGAACCACATGCACACGTCTGACTGAGTCTGACTGACTGGCTGACTGTCTGGACATAAAGAAATATTCTTGCCCAGGAAGCACAAATCACAATAATCTTGCAATTTTTCAAATAGTGGTTATAAAATTTTATTGACCATTTAAAAGAACACATCTGTAGAGACAGAAAATATTTTGGAAAAAAAAAAAGAAAAGAAAAGAAATGCGGCTGTAAAGGACCCCGCCTGGCCTCTTGCTTCCCGTGTCTAGGTAAACAGCACCACCTGGAGGTCACACGGAACAAGGGCATCCATATTTCTGGTGACCAGGGATGCGGTTTTCTGATTCTTAATCCACTCTTTGGAGTTTCCTTTCGATTGGGATCAACATTTTCAATGCCTAGCTAAGGACATCCTAACACAGAAGTGTGAATAACGTGAAAATTTCTTTGTCGTGCCTTTCAGAAGCTAGGTCTTGTTATTTAGACTATCCTGGATAATTCTTGAAGGTTCATAACCCTTTGCTTTGAGCAATTTGCATCTAAAAAGACTACTAGAAAAAAAATTAAAATGGTACATAGGAGGTTATAAAAGCAAACAGCACTCAGAGGAACATTCCTGTCCGCTAAGGGGACAGAGGTGAGGTACTGTATAGACTCAGACCAGACTGCGTCACTGTCGACCTGGGTGGAGTTCAACATGAGTCCCATGTGGCGATGTGTCCACGTTCCCCCTGCTTATAAATGCTACCAAACCTTTTCTACCCAGACTCTGAACATTTTACAAATTCACATCTAACTGATATGTATCACAGATGTCTTCAGCTGCGTTACATTTGTGAGCAGGTCAGAATCTGATAGAACTCAAGGCATTATGAAGTACTCTCAGAATGGAATTTTATGGGAAAGAAGAGACCCTTGGACTTACAGAAGTATTATCTATCATCACAGAAGTTTATCGAAAAGCAGACACTAGATGACTGCTAACCTGGATGGCGATCATAATTTATACTTTTATTAACTGCTATTTACTATTAAATTTGATTTGGTTATATTTATATGTAAATTGCTTTGGGGATAAAATTAAGGAAAGAAGTATATTATTTGTAAACAACTGGTTGAATCCCAAAGGCAAATAAAAAAGGTGTAATTTTAAATGTAAGCAGAACTGGATGATCCCTTGACTTCTCTTCCTCCAAAAACAACGAACGAAACCAGAGCTACCAGGAGACCCAGAGCTACCGGGAGACCCAGGGCTACCGGGAGACCCAGGGCTACCGGGAGACCCAGGGCTACCGGGAGGCCCAGGGCTACCGGGAGGCCCAGAGGTACCAGGAGGCCCAGGGCTACCGGGAGGCCCAGAGGTACCAGGAGGCCCAGAGCTACCAGGAGGCCCAGGGCTACCAGGAGGCCCAGAGCTACCAGGAGGCCCAGAGCTACCAGGAGGCCCAGGCCCCTCGGCATAAAGGTTACTTTTGACCAAAGAGTTTTAAACAAAATATGTCACATTTCCTAACAGCTGCAATTACAGTCAGCTGAGATGGGTGAGGTGCAGAGCAGCAAAACCCACGGTAGCCGGGGACGCCTTCCTGGATGACATCTCTGTGCAGATAAGGCAGACCACAAAGAATGGCTGATATCAGGGCAACAGGTCTTTCCAAGACTTCGCTTTGGATTTCTTCTTTCCCAGTTCTCATCCATTTTTGTTTGCTGCATATTTTCCTGAAATTTTGTTTTGTTTTTGAGATAGGGTCTCCCTGTAGCTAGCCTGGAACTCTCTATGTAGATCAGGCTGGTCTCAGTACCACAAAGATCCTCCTGCCTCTGCCTCCTGCGTGCTGGGATTAAAGGTGTGTGTCACCACACCTGGCTCTCCTGACTCTTGCCGAAACTAAGTTTTCATCCATCGTCAAAGAAACATGACAAGTCCCAACCTTCCCATTTGTAACCAAAAACCAAGTGCCACTTCCTCTTAGGAAGACAGTGGCTCTCCACCTCCCTGATGGCTTCCGCCTGTGGCGCGAAGAAAGGGAGACGGAGGGAGCAGGGGAAGTGGGTCCATCCTGATCTTTGTCCCTTTACCGTCCGCTTTGCTCCATTCCCAGGCCCTCCATCAACTTCCCCCCACAAGTGCTTGATGGACAGCAAAGTGCTGTGTGTTATCCCCATAACAGAACGTGCTCTTTGTCAGAAAGAACGAGAAGGTGGCACACTACACAGAGGAAGACACGAGGGCAGAAGCGTTCGCATTTAGACACGAGTGGCCGGGGCTCTCTTTCAGAAACTGCTGGAGGTTTTGTGGTGAGAATGAAGGTGAACAGGGGAATGAGGGGGGACAGGAGGGAGAAGTGGCCACTGGACCGGGGGGACAGGAGGGAGAAGTGGCCACTGGACCGGGGGGACAGGAGGGAGAAGTGGCCACTGGACCGGGGGGACAGGAGGGAGAAGTGGCCACTGGACCGGGGGGACAGGAGGGAGAAGTGGCCACTGGACCGGGGGGACAGGAGGGAGAAGTGGCCACTGGACCGGGGGGACAGGAGGGAGAAGTGGCCACTGGACCGGGGGGACAGGAGGGAGAAGTGGCCACTGGACCGGGGGGACAGGAGGGAGAAGTGGCCACTGGACCGGGGGGACAGGAGGGAGAAGTGGCCACTGGACCGGGGGGACAGGAGGGAGAAGTGGCCACTGGACCAGGGGGGAACAGGAGGGAGAAGTGGCCACTGGACCGGGGGGACAGGAGGGAGAAGTGGCCACTGGACCGGGGGGACAGGAGGGAGAAGTGGCCACTGGACCGGGGGGACAGGAGGGAGAAGTGGCCACTGGACCGGGGGGACAGGAGGGAGAAGTGGCCACTGGACCGGGGGGACAGGAGGGAGAAGTGGCCACTGGACCGGGGGGACAGGAGGGAGAAGTGGCCACTGGACCGGGGGGACAGGAGGGAGAAGTGGCCACTGGACCGGGGGGACAGGAGGGAGAAGTGGCCACTGGACCGGGGGGACAGGAGGGAGAAGTGGCCACTGGACCGGGGGGACAGGAGGGAGAAGTGGCCACTGGACCGGGGGGACAGGAGGGAGAAGTGGCCACTGGACCGGGGGGACAGGAGGGAGAAGTGGCCACTGGACCAGGGGGGAACAGGAGGGAGAAGTGGCCACTGGACCGGGGGGACAGGAGGGAGAAGTGGCCACTGGACCGGGGGGACAGGAGGGAGAAGTGGCCACTGGACCGGGGGGACAGGAGGGAGAAGTGGCCACTGGACCGGGGGGACAGGAGGGAGAAGTGGCCACTGGACCGGGGGGACAGGAGGGAGAAGTGGCCACTGGACCGGGGGGACAGGAGGGAGAAGTGGCCACTGGACCGGGGGGACAGGAGGGAGAAGTGGCCACTGGACCGGGGGGACAGGAGGGAGAAGTGGCCACTGGACCGGGGGGACAGGAGGGAGAAGTGGCCACTGGACCGGGGGGACAGGAGGGAGAAGTGGCCACTGGACCGGGGGGACAGGAGGGAGAAGTGGCCACTGGACCGGGGGGACAGGAGGGAGAAGTGGCCACTGGACCAGGGGGGAACAGGAGGGAGAAGTGGCCACTGGACCGGGGGGACAGGAGGGAGAAGTGGCCACTGGACCAGGGGGGACAGGAGGGAGAAGTGGCCACTGGACCAGGGGGGACAGGAGGGAGAAGTGGCCACTGGACCAGGGGGGACAGGAGGGAGAAGTGGCCACTGGACCAGGGGGGACAGGAGGGAGAAGTGGCCACTGGACCAGGGGGGACAGGAGGGAGAAGTGGCCACTGGACCAGGGGGGACAGGAGGGAGAAGTGGCCACTGGACCAGGGGGGACAGGAGGGAGAAGTGGCCACTGGACCAGGGGGGACAGGAGGGAGAAGTGGCCACTGGACCAGGGGGGACAGGAGGGAGAAGTGCCGTGGGCCCTGCCACCATTGGTCAGCCGGGTGCCTCCGCTCTCAGAGCATTCGTACTTTGAAAGTTCTATCGTAATGTGGGGTTTTTGTTGTTTTGTTTTGTTTTTATGTGTGTGTGTGTATTGCCTGCATGTGTGTAAGCACACCTGTGTCGTGCAATGCCCACCGAGGACAGAAGGCATCGGATTCCCCTGGAACTGGAGTTACAGATGGTTGTTAACCAACATGTGGGTGCTGGGAACCGAACCTGGATCCTCTGCAAGAGCAGTCAGTGCTTTTAACTGCTGGGCCATCTCTCCAGCCCAGTAATGTGTGTGTTTTTAAATATTTTTAAAGTTTTTAAAGCATCAGTTTCTTTAAAAACTAAAAAACAAAGTGAAAGCTCATGTAACTATACACCCACTAGTTGGTAAAAAGAAAGTTTAATAGAATCCTAATTTAAATTTGGAGACATTCATAGAAGACTTTAAAATATTTTACATATTTTTTTATTTTAAGTATATGAGTGTATTGCGTACATGTATGTGAGTGCATCCATGTCACACAAAGCACAAAGAGGTCAGAAGAAGGCATCAGATCCC